CAGACGGAAGTGCCTCAGCGATTCGTGTGTGTGCCCAAGATACAAACACTCGAGATACAAACACTCGCTCGCTCGCGTACTGCCAACATTGGTTAATTAGCATGTTACATGCCTTAAAACCCCCGATGTGGATGCCCTATATGGAGTAAAAGGCACTGACTGCGAGACTACAGCTGTTGCCTGTTGGCTGTTGGCCCGGCATATTTGCTGGCCATATTTATGTACGTATGGGTAATAAATACTCTTAACTGCTGTCAGTTGTTTTTCGATTCACACACACTCTCGAAACGCTATAGTCAACACACGGGTAATAGGTAGACCCCACACCTTGGAGCTCCGCGAGTCTCTGGGGAACTGTGCAACTGAATTGCAAATCTAATTAGCCACTGCAGGAATGCATCGCAGGGGGGAAAAGGCAGGGGGGTATTTGGTTGGTATTACGGGTAAGTAGTCGCATTAGGCATATGCTTATTAATACCGATATGATGCAACACAGTAAACAAATGCGGCATTATGTTTGCCCCTATTCGTAATTTGAGCAGTGTTTTGCACTTGAAATGCACTCTGTTTGTGGTGGGAAAACAAAGTGGAATCAGTAGCTTCTAATGTTCTACCCTCCCCATTCCTAATTCAACAACCCCTCGGGATTAACACTCAAATAAAAATTAATAGTGTTGAACACTTTTCTTTTATTATCACTAACTAATTATTAAGATATATGAACCATTGTGCATATCATTACAATTAAATCAAGACTTGAAAACCACTTAAAAACAACATAATAATATCTCATCGATATTTAACGATTGATTCGATAAATTCCGATAAATACATCAAAAGGGTTTTTATGGTTTTTGATTATCTAAGGGTGCTACTTATTACCTATAACTAGTATACCTTCATGTTCTAGTTTTTACCCTAAACACCGAACGGAACTAGTGGGTGAATGATGAGGTGTAGGTGTCGCACCAAATACGTTCGACATTCCTTGGGGTATCACCGTGTGGGCTCATCATCATTGGCAGCCAACTGAATGACATTTACCTAGCCGCTTGTAATTCCATCTACACACTTGAAATATATCCAGCGGTGAGTTTTCAAATTAATTACAAGTCAATTAAAACACGCTTACACTGGTAAACGCTTCTCGAGTGCCAACAACTATTCTAGACAGATCTTGACATTTGCATACCAAGGTAGAAAGAGAAGCCAAATCATAATTAGAAAGAGAAAGAGAGGCGTACGGTACAGGCGGCTTGTTTCCATATTTGGCCAAAAGTCAGCTATCGATTTATTAATGAAACTACGTTTGTTTTTATCTGCGATGGCTATAGATAGATTTCTCGAGATCGGGATTGAGATTGAGATCGAACCCACACACCAAAGCTATTCAAAAATTCAGTCATCAATGTCGTAAATTAAGACGAATAAGTGCATCTGTTGTTGTTGGTATTTTTATTTTTATTTCGGTTGGCCGAAACAAACATTCCATTTTGGCCATTTGATATGCTCCACAGCCAGCTGGTCGAGAGTTCAAGTTCGTCGCTTGCGTTGAAGTCTTTCGTTTGCAAAGAACAGTGGATTGGATTGCTGATGTCATGGGCAGGGCAGTAAATAATAATAACAACAACAAAAAACACCTTTATTCCACCTGATATTTTTTTCGAGTAATTCTCGTTATTGTATGTCGCTGTTCGCCAACTGGCATTGACTTTATTGTAACACATACCTTGGCGTATTATAATAAATCAAATGCCACAGACAGAAATCCCAAATAAGAATAATAATCTTTTCAACTTCGAACGATGACGTGAGAATGTCTCGGTTTTCGGGTGGCTCTTTTTGGTTCTCTGGCTTTTGAGCCATTGTATTTTGGCTTTCTTTCGAGGCGTTACTTTTCATGCCTGGACGCCCTGGCTAAACATTCGTATTGGCTGGTCATGGCATTTTGGCCAAATATAAACGCCTGGCATACACACATCCGCACTACTACGAGTATATACTCTCCAACTAACGAGCAATGAAAAATTGCAAATTGCTGAGGGAAATTATCTGATGCTCATAATGAAAACGTTTGTCAGAACAATTCGACACAGATCTCGCCGATTTGGCACACACCGTCGCCTTGGGGTTCGGGCAATTTATTATTTAAATTTAGCAATTGAGCGGCTTAGGAAGTTTACGTGGCAGCCGCAAGGTTAACTCAAGATTTGTGGCTCTCGATATGGCGCTCTAGGTGCACTAAATGGTACTGAAAACACTAAATCGCGTAATACCTTTGGCTGGATCAAATAAATTACTGGGGATATTAAAATGCTCTTAACTTTGAAAAATATGCTGCAGGCCTGTCAGCAACAAGTTTACAACTTTCCGGTGGTTTTAAAATATATTTAAGTCATTTGAAGTAAGATCTCAAGGGTCTCGATTTGTTACACCTTTCTTTATGCCTTAAAACACTCAAGATAAGTTGAAACAACTAATTTTTATGGCCAACCTACGCTTAACCATACAAATTTTACATTGCTTATTAAATCTTACTATTTTTCAAAAGGTTTTCTGTGTTCTTTGTTGGGTTTTAAAAAAGTTTAAGATGATCATTCAAAGATAAAGTTATAACACCTCGTTTTAATTACCAAGCGAACATCACTTTCTTTCAACTAAATAGAGCGCGTTTAAACCCATAATCAATTGACTAAAAGCTGTCGTAAATATGCACTAATTTGTATGGGGACCATTGAAACCACGTGTAAAGCACTGGAAAATGCAATAAAGCTCAACAGGTTTTATGTCTCAGCTAAAGGTAAAGTCACTGATTGATTGTTTTTGCTTGGTGTTTTGCTTTTTTGCTGTTGCTGTGGGTGGTTCATAGATCAAATCGATTCGCTTGCACAATTTATAACTTAATTACAACCCAAGCAGCGTTACAAAGTGCCAGCGGCTGCTGTTTAGAAAATTGCTCCGGCTCCGGCGCTTATTATTATTTTGTTCGCCTTTAACAAAACATTTTTTCTCCAGCTTTGTTGTTGTGTGACCCACAAAACACCGATCGTTAATTGAATATACAAAACAGAGCTTGGCGTTGTCGCACCCCCCCCTGAATGGAAATAGGAATTGTGTCATAATTGCAAGATGTCGATTGCGATTTGGCTTTAGATTTGGATAACTAAAAATTAAATGAGACTGAGAACAGAGCTGTAAGGCAAAAATCATTTGGTATGCAAAACAAGAAATATCCTTTTAAGTCGATCGATCGGTTGGGGTGAATAATTTGCATATTTTTTTTCCAGATATTATTTTTTTTTTTCCAAATGCCGAATGACATCAGACACCCGCAACATCGGCGTAAATATACATAAATCCTTGGCGGCAGCAGGCAGACAAGAAATAATGAATAAGTCAGAAAAACCGTAAACAGTAAATGACGCGCGATTGAGTTTCACATTGTCAAGTGATTTACAATTCGTTCGCCTCAATTGAATGAACGCCATTTGGCAGCCTCAAGTTGCGTGTTGCTGATTGTTGTTGTTGTTGTTGGTGTTGCTGTTTCTGCTACGGTTGCTGTTGCTGTTGCTGTTGCTAGTTGCTTATTGCTGCTTGCCTCATGGTCGGTGAACTGGCAGCATCATTGAGCATTTATGTGCGCCATCGATCAACTCGGAGTCAAGCCACATCGACATCCACATCGCCACATCCACCGACAACCGACAGTCGTCGAAAACTCGAAAATGCATCTGCGTTTGTCGCCAGTTACGAAATATCCAAGTTTTGCTTTGCAGCCAGTTGACACACATACTGCGGAAATGTATCTCGCCGATGAGTCAGTGTCGAAAATGAATTCGGATCTTGTAATCACTTTATCCGTTTTATAAGGTCATCAATTAATTATTCATTTATTATTGTGATTTAAAAATCATCTCTAATGGGAATTTGTAATATTTAAATTAATTTATACTACTTCATAATTTTAAAACATTCAATTAGTAATCTTGGAATTACTTGTTATGAATTTAAAACAATTAAAACAATTAATGTTTGCTAATACATTTATTAAATACAAATCAACCAACTTTCTTTGTGTATCAAAAAATAGATTTTTACGTTTAATAAAAGTTTATTAAATTAAGTTCATAATAAAATTTTTTTTTTTATTAAATAAAATTGAAAACCATTTTTTCTAAACCTTTTAATATATATAAAGGATTATTAGATTTAAAATGTATTGCATATCTATTTTAAGTGAAATCTTTATCTTTTTATTGCATATCTGTTTTAAGTGAAATCTTATCTCTGATCGATTTATTTGATTTGCTTTTTAGATAGCCATCTCGTGCTTTGTTTTAAACTGCATCCCAACGCACCGTTTCTCTGGGCCAGCTTGTTTTCGCCAAGCCGCCAGTCAGTTGTCGTGTAGGTGGCCAAAAGCAATACCCCCTCCCCTCCCCCCTTTCCATGGCTTTTAAGCCAACTCACGGCCTTGCTGCTGACGAACTGTAGCAGCAGCAGCAAAAGCAGCAGCAGTGGCAGCAGCAGCATCGTTATGTGTGTCAGTCAGCGGCGGCGGCAAAGAGAAGGCAATCGGGTTGCCTTAAAAGGTTGGGCCGCATTCGCCAAAAAAAAAAAAAGAGAGAAATACCTATATATATTTTTAGGTAGATCGCAAGTAGCTCGCAGCTCGTAGCTCATAGCGTGTCAAGACTGTAGCTGGTTGTCGTGTGGGCCGCTCTGTCGTAGCTGCCGCTGCCAAGTCGGCTCAATGAATCGATCCGATCCAACAAACGCCCAAATGAAAACAAACTCTAGACCGAGGGGGTCACCTTCAGCCAAAAGAGCCCCACACACGTGGGCGTTTTCTATATATCTCGCTGACTTTGAATCGCTGCCCACCCAAAAACCCAAAGCAGCGCCCACAGTTTTGCTCCAATTGCTCAATCAATGAAAATATTATATATACGTATGGGTACTTCTACTTGAAGATATTGTATTTGTTTAAATCAACTCACCTGGAAGTGCAATATGATGGTCCAGATGAGGCCCAGGGTCAACTTGGGATTGCCATCGACAATATCCTCCGCTCGAATGTTGACCAGTTTGATCTTCTTGTAGCGCAAAAAATCCAAAGCCATTTGTGCATTCTGCAGCATATGGAAACGCATTTTACCCTTCTCGCGTGGCTATAAAAATAAATATAAAAAATAGTGAGTAAGTAAAAATAAGTTGGCGAGAGCGTGACAAAACTGCTAAGAAATCAATTGAATAACACTTACCAGGTGTTCGCCAGATAGCACCTCCAGGAGTGAAAGTAAATTGTGACCATCGCGCAGATCTTCGAACAAGTCCACCACTCGACGATTGGCCTGCAGGTGGGGGAGGTGGTAGTTTCGCAGTTTGGTTTGGTAGTTGAAAAAACATTCGGATTCGGTAAAAGGTGATTTCAAATAAATTAGAGAGTAACCAAAGGTAAAAGACATGCAAACAAAACAACTCAAAAATAGCTGCGACTCAGATTGAACAGCAAAACAAACCGCAAGGTGAAGTGAACATTTTGGTTAAGTAGCAGCAAGTTTAAGAAAAAAATTGTATAAAATAACGTCAATGAAAAGATGCAGTTAAAAAAATAAATTATAATACTCAGCAAGTATAAAAAATTCAAACAAAGCAACATCAAAAAGCTTTCTTTGAGTAAAAAATATTAAGAAGTTTTCTTAGCAAAATCATAATATTTGCAAATTAATAAAAACTCAAACAAGACAACATAAAAAATCTTTCTTCGAGAAAGTAATATTAAAAGGCATTCTAATTAAATTCTTTTAAGCTCGACTTACAGACTGAGAACAACAAGGAATGCCATTTGTGGTTACACAAACATGTAGCATAGTATAGGTCTGAAAATCATGGGAAAATTAGTTTTAATTTTCTTTAAAACAAAACCAAAAACAACATCTAATTTAAAATGATAATTGGCTAATACCTTAGCATACTTCCAATGCTGCTTGTGGGGATAATATTTAAATTTTGAAGATCAGTAGGTTTCATAAATTTGAGCTGAGTTTTTGATGTTTGTAGGGCACCTTTTAAAGCTCGATCATTAACTCACCTTTTTCAGATGTTTGTTCACCCATTTTGTGAAAGTCTTCTTCTGAATGGCATCGCGTTCATCTAAACAGGGAATTAGTTAGAAAAAGAGATCACATATTAGTTTTTTTGATAAACTTGATTTTGGTTAGTAGTCAAAAATCATGCAATGCTTGGGAGGTTTGTGCCGAAAGAAGATCCATTGTGAATGGCGTCATCGCCGATTGAGAAATGAATAGTTTATGCAAAATGCTCAAAATTTCAACGCCCACTATCAAAGTTATTAATTTACTGCCAATATTGTTTCTATAGGTATGTATATTATTTTTTTATTTTTGGGTCTTTTTAACAACTTGAGTGCGGGCGTTGAGTAATCTTCCTAGGGCCTTAATTAACTTGTTTGAACAAATGTTCCAACTGTTGCCAATTAATGGTTTATTAGAGTTTGAACTGAGTGAGTGTGTGTGGTTTCCCTATTTCCCACTCTCATATTCACTCTATCGGGTTTTTTTTTGTTCAGGGTCTCGGTAAACTTTGGTCAATGTTTTTCTTTGGCCTGATAAACACGAAAATCGATAAGAAGTGGGAGGGCGGGAGATATACTACATATATACGTAGGTAGCTTTAGCTTTGATTTGTTGGTCTGACAAATGACGTGTGAGTGAGTTAGTGTGTTTGTTTGTGGGAATAACCCATCGACAGATAAGGTAATGGTCATGTTGCCCCAACTTTCGGCACAAAAATTAAGCATTTCCAAGTTGTTAAACAATTTGCGGCAATTAGTAGAGTTTTTGTTTTTGGGCTGATAACTTCATGCAGGGCAGAGCTTGGCAATAATTTAAGTTAACCACCCTTTTTCAGCATTATCTAATCAACGAGGAACAAAGAAAGGTTCTGCAGACCCAAACCCTTCACAAAAACAAACGAGAACAGGACAATATGTCGAGTCTATTGTAAAGGTATTAAATCGGTTGATAAACCCGATAAATTCAAGTGCTAAACATATAAAACAATAAACGTGGTAGAAAAGAAAACAACCAAGTCATATAACCAGCAACTCAAAGCAGAAGCTAAAAAGCAAAACAAAAGCGCTAAAAGATAAAGTATAAAGTGTCGGAGAGAACAAGTGAGTATAGTTGAACGATCTCCTCGACCAGTTTAACTCTCTTTTTGCTACAAATACTCACTCTCTTTTTAACTCTTTAAAATATCAAGAACGAAACTTGAATGCCCTTGGAAAGGGGCTTAGTACTACAGTATACCGTTATAAGTATGTACTTTTGGCGACCAAAAGTCTAACCACTCCAAAAATTAACCTAGTTGGATGGTCAACAAAAATACGACGAATATTGATAAACAATTTGTAGAAAAGTCGAGCAAAAACTAATTGGCAAATACGTGATGGATCGTCGACGAGAATGGATGTTAAACGTGTTTCGATAAGTTTAAAGTCCAAATACATTATAAGCTCCCCCGAAGTGATGATAATATGATATATATCACTGGGTATTAAGTTACCACCAAGTTCTGGATATTTTCTGTAGAAAATTAGTCAAATGTTGTGACTAAGCTTTACAAACATTTGTATTAATTTCTTTAAGCACAGCTGCTATTCCGAATTTATCTAGTGATTCATAGACCCCGAGGCTATAAAGAGTTGAAAAAACCTTTTTTATGACAAACATTTCGACACTTTTTTTTGCCTGCACCCTACGTATAATTTTTTTTCTCTTCGGTTACATGTAAGAAAAAACCAGAGAGAGTGAGAAATGGAGAAGCGGAAAGATCGCGAACTTGTTCCAATCGTTCGCTGACTCATCCGTTTGCAATTTTCCATTAAAGCGGAGATTCCACCTTTTTTTCAAGAACTCTCCAATTCCATTCATTCAGCAGGGGAGACGATCTTTCCGCAAAAATCTTTCTGCACGATTGCATGCAACACAGCACAAGACAACCCGCTATTCGTATTCCTATTCGTAATCGGGCTTATTTTTATCTTTCTCTAAGCCAAGAACAACAACAACAACAACAACAACAAACACAACACGGCACAAAGAGTTCATAAATATTCACACAAATAATGATTGTGCAAAGGTGTACGACTTCGCCGGCACAAATACAAATGCGAATACACAGGGTAGCACTATCTGAAAATGTGTGTCTGTATGCGGCTCTTTTTTTTCATTTTTTTTTTTTTTTTTGAAGAGCGCGTGATGATGTCACGTTCTAAGTTGAATTTGTTTTCAACGATTAAACGTTCGTTAAGTTGTTGTAGAAGAGTTCGTCGGAGAAGCTTATTTGATATTTGTTAATGTTTATTTTTGCATTTAGTCATTGTCATTGATTAGCACACTTAACCTTAGAAGGACGTTTGATCGGAGATGTTTGATTTTGACAAGCATCGGAAACAGTTACTTGCAAGTATTACAATTTGTATTTAAGTTTTTACTTCTTCTTGCTGACTAAACAATAACACATTTTTTAATCGATTTATCAAACACATTACTAAATAAAAGTAATTAACTTGGCGTTAACATGTTGCCAATTAAATGGGTTTTTATGTGTTGCTCTTTTTTTTATGAAGGACGTTTGGGTAATCGTGTTTTCACGATTTGCAATCAGCGATAAGAATAAACAACCGTTTGCCCGATATAAATAATGAACTCACTCTATTTTATTGGCGGTAGGAAATGCACTTCAAATGGTATTCAAAATATTTCTTCTTTTTATCTGCGAGTCAACAAAATTCCCAGCTAACGGCGCCAGCAAATTAGTCTCTGGCAATCGAAAACGTATAACCATCAGCATAAAAAGCCCATATAAATGTTTACAAAAGTCAATAAGCATAAACCCGTTTATTTTTTTCTTCGCTGGACAAATGAGTTCACTTTGAAATTCGTGGAATTCTGAAGTCAGTCGAAAGTTTGTTAATTTGCCAGCTCAGTTTTTATTTTTTCTGGGTGTCTGGATGACGGAAATATCAGGTTCTCTTTCAGGGGTTTAATTAGAGGTTCAACCCTCGAAAAAAACCGTAATGAACAATCTCCCTCTTATTGAATTCAAGGTCGAGATGGCACCCTTTTATTTGATCAGCATTTGATGTGCCAAGAAAGGTGCGACTAATGGTCTCCGAATGTATTTGTATTTGCCAAAGAAGTGTCAGCACTTAATATATTTAGTGATTGTCGGAATTTGTAATAAATATATTTATAACACTCGATAAGACCTTGAAAAGTCCCCCTTAAAGATATGAAATGCATTGCAAAGAAGTGAGGTAACCTTATTTGTTTCAACCTTAACATCTGTTTGTTCTACGCGATCTATTTCACATTCCATAGGTTTTTGCATAAATTTCGTACGAAATCTTTAAACCTGTTGGAAAAGAGTTAGCTTAAATATTTGCTTAAAACTTCAGCGGACTCTGAGCTAGCATTTAAAGAGGGTCTCATAACCTTGACCCTTTATAATTTGCTCCCCAGTTCGACTTCCGCAAAGCGGTTAGCAGTCGTTGGAAAAACATGTTTTCGGGTTAGTTAAGCTTTAGAAGTATACAAATGAAACCGCGACGGATTCATAATTGAAATTCATACAAACAAGATACAACAAGCGACGCGAAGTGAACTTGAAATGCAAATCATTTCCGCTGAGGGTAATTAATTAGAAAGAAAAAACATCCAAGAGAACTGGAACACAGAACAACACATGCCAGAAAAAAACGAGAAAACGAGATCCTATCCTGAGATTTCCCACTTACGCATGATGTCCCAATCTTCTATAAAATGATCCCAAATGGACATGCTACCTTTGAACTGGGTGAGGGCATCCTCGTAGCCACCCTGCGGCTGGGCCTGGGTGGATGAGTGCTTGGCCTTTTTGGGGGCAGCCGGACTATTGTTGCTATTCTCGTACAGCGGCGATGAGGCACTGCCCACCGAATGGCGATGGTGGTGGTGCTGATGATGGTGGTGCTGCTGCTGATGATGATGATGACTGTTGTTGTTGTTGCTGCTGGTGCTGTACAGCTCCCGATCGCGTTGCTCCCGCTGAACCTGCTGGTACTCCAGGGTTCCATTGTTGGCGGAAAGTCCTGCAACACCCGGCGAAACGGAGATTCTGGCCGGCGACTGACTGCTACTGGTGGTGGCATGATGGTAGCTCTGATGGTGGTGCGTCGTCTGCCGCGAGCTGCTCCGCTTCATCGAGTTGCTGCCGCCCGGCTGCTGCTCATTGGGATCGAAGCCCAGGCGGTCTTTATAGTAGGAATGCGATGTCATCTTGCGGGTGGCACATTAAGATACTCAAATACCCCGAAAAACACTCAAAACACTTTCAGCACTCGACACTCGTCAAAACTTTCGCCGCAAACTCTTCGATTCTTTTCTTTTCTTTATTTTTGAGATATTTGTTTCGTTGATTTTCAGCACGTTTCGGAGTTTATGTTTGTTTTGCGATGGCACTTTGTGATTTTCGGATTTTTTTATTGCTCTCGGTTGGCTGGACCTGAAGTTGGGAGTTGGCAAATTAAAATACAAACGAATCATGCATTCGTACATCTAAATTAGCCGTGATGATTCAGCTGCAGACGCTGCGATCCGCGCACTTGAACGTGAAATCATCAGGGAAATGGCATCGGCGATTGCAAATGAGTTGCAATTAGCGAGATACCAAAGTGGAATGTACTAGCACTAAGCACTAAACTAAATTTAAGTAAAAGTTCTCGTTTACAAAGTCGGCTATCTACACATGAAAAAAAACCACAACAACATGGAAATATTTTGAAGATTTTGTTAACTCAATTTCATATTAAATTTTGAGGAACTATACACTTTGCAATATCATATTATTTAATTTGTTTTCATACTTGCAATTATTATTTTCATATCGTTTAAATAAATAATCAATGCAAACCCCAAGTTCAAGTTTAAATTATTAAACAAATAAAAACCTAAACACCTTTCTTTAGTTTTTCTAGTTTTTCTTGTGTAGCAGAGAAGCATTTGCTATATATCTGATGTATTTGCCTTTATGTTTTCAGCGTTGCCGGCATTTTGTTCCAATTGGACGTTGGCCAAAAGAAAACGTGCTGTTGGCGAAATGTATCTATCAGTTACGATACAAATACACTAGCGTACATGGTGCATTTGTCGCCAGGGGCGAACGAACTGGCGACGCCATGTATCCATCAGATACAGATACAGATACAGATACAGCAGATACGGATACCGAGATACAATGGGAGAAGGGCGCGATCGCTATTGCGATCGCTTCACTTTTACCCGACAGCCAAATTGAAATTTATAAAGATAAATTGAAACTGAAATCAGACGCAGCTGCATACACAAAAAGCTCAAGTAAAAGCGAGCACTTAAATCATTTCATTCCGTGTCCACTTTTTTTACTTCTTTTGCAATCTTCACAATGACAAAACTGCGATCCCATTTTGTCCGTGTACTTTCATTTGCAAAACACACAAAATAAATCTCTACTTCTGCCCTGATTTTGGAGTTACTTTTGTTTTTTTTTTTTTCTGTTTTTTTCTTTTTTTTTCGTGGGTGATTCCATTCAATTCATGAGGTCAGCTTGGAGCTGTATTTCTGGCTCTCGGACCCGTAAGCACAATAAGTATAAATAAATAAATGCCTAGACACGCAAGCAGCTGCGGGCCCAGGAGACGGGTTGTCGCTCTGATTAGATACGAATACAATTATATATACCCCGCCTCGCATGTAGATATGGACAGACAAATTTCTTTCTGTCTTTCCCTCTCTCAACTCATTTTTCATTCAAAGTTTGCGTAGTTTTGTTTAATATTTGAGAAAGGTAGGTTGATTTCCACCAGAAGTTTGCAGTAAGCTATCACTATGTAAATTCTTTATCTTTTATTGACAAAGATATGGTTATTTATTCTAAGCTTTATTAATATTTTAAATGTGAACGAACTGAATCAAACATTTGTTTATTTAAACGACACTAATAAACGTTCCTACTTGGTTGTAATTTTAGACAGAAAATTCATTATAAATTTTAAGTTTTTAAAAATTTTGATCTTTACAAACTAATATATCTTGACCAAAATTACAAGAGTATCTACAAGTAATTTTCTTTTCCTCTTTTTTCAACTTGTTTGCACTGTCTGCTTTAAATTTTTAATTTATTTATGCAAACGCTGGGCGTAACTTAGCTAAATGACAAACAAACATTTTTCTTTGCCGCTTTTTGTGAACTTTTACTTGAGTTTTAGTTTAGGTTTTAGTTTTGGTTAATTTGTTTTTTAGTGCCAATCTAAGGCGTTTTTTCATGGTTTTGTTTATTTTTCCGAAGTCAACAGTTTTTTTTGTGGGTTTTTAGCTATTTGCATCTTTCACTTTGCTGCAAGTGGCTTTCAATAATTTTCACTCATATTTTTGTTGCTTGTTATTGTTATGGTTTTTTCGTTTTTGTTGTTTTGTTATTGTTATTTTCTGGCTGGGCTGCTTGTTCCGTGTGCATTTTCCATTCACATGCAAAATTTCACACAATAAATTCACGGAAAATATTTCCCCACTGCCACTGTCTGAACTTGGCTTTTCGCCTCTCTCTTTCTTCCCTCCTTCTCATCCCCCACCCTTCTCTGCCTCCCCCACTTTATGGCACAGTTATGCGAGTTGTGCATTTTCTCTCGTTTTTTTCTAAGCCAGGTTTAAACGGGAGAGCCGGAATTAAGTATGCCTGGCATGCCAAGAAAACCGTGTGTCGAGAACTACAGGTAAAAGGAAAGAGAGTGAGAGAGAAAGAAGGAGGGAGAACGGAGGTACACAGAGGAAAAACGTTTTATTGTTTTAAAGAAAATGAGTTGAAACAATTTGTTTATTTGGAGTGAATAGGTTTCTTTCTTTTAAATTTTAATTTCTGATTAACTTCAATTTTTAATTTAATTTTTTTTTAATTACTATAACATAAATTAAATTGCAAAGATTTTATATTTTCGATGCTAACCAATCTTGTTCACCTACATTTTAATGGTAGTTTTAAGGAGCCTAATGTTATTCGAAAACATTAGGCTCCTTAAAGATTTTTTTTGGTGTATAGGTGCATGCGTTTGGCATGACTAATTTGTCTTTATAAAGAAAAACCCAAATGATATACTGGCTTCAGTGCGACTTTGTGGATTTTTAGTGCGTGTGCAACGATCAAAAATCCGAGACCAGATCGCCCCTAAAGAGCAATTCAAGCTCACAAAAATCTAAAGAAAAAATCTGACAAAAACTGGTTATTGAATGAAAAGCCAGCCGACGACAGACAACAAGAACAAACAACAACAACAAAAAAATGGCAAAAACAACAACGCACAACTAAAAAGAAGTTGGGCGAAGTTGAAAATTTCTTGTTTGCGACAGGCAAATATTTAAAAAATGCAACACAGCTGCTGGTTTGGTTTTTCGGAAACTCTCTCGAGTTCTGCGTTCTTGCTTTTTCGTTTATGATTTCCTTTATCGGTTTGGTTTATTTGGGACGATAACACAACGGCGGTCCTTCATTCAGTCACTCAATTTAGTCATTTATTTATTTTTATAGTGCTTTGACGTCTTTGCTGCTTCAACACAATTTTTGCACTAAAGATAAACGCGACTATTATTATTTATGTAAGTTTCGAATGCTGCTTTTTAGTTAATTTATATTATTATTTGCACTTTGTTTTTCGGTTTCTTCTCACTTTTTTAGGGCCAAGTTGCGTTCGTTAACTGCGCGTGAGTGTGTGCGTTAACAAATTGTTGTTGCCACACCACACACACACATTAATATATAAACGCAACGCACGCACACACACAGTCACTGGTAAGAGAACGAGGTTCTAGCAGAGAAACGCCCAACTGCTCGGTGTCGCGGTTCAAATTCGAATGAGCGCCGTGGCGTTAAGCGAGTTCACTTGGGTGCCGCTGAGACACAAGAGTCGCGAGAAGAGGAGCGAAAGAGCGGAGAGAGCCCCGAGAGAGATAGAGAGAGTGGGGGCGAGTGAGCTTGCAGGTGAGTGTGAGTGAGCGGAGCAGGTGTACCGCGCACTAGTGTTGGCCAAACAGTGCTCTCTTTTCAAGAAGCAAGATCACTTGCTCAGTTTGGATAAACTCAATGGCTGTGTTGAATCTATTGTTCATATATGCACTTGTTCATTTATCTACTTGCTCATTTATTCACTTGTTCTTTTATACACTTGTTCATTTGTTCATTTGTTGTGAGAAAATAACCAATATCAGTTGCTCAATTTGCGAGAATAGTCTTACTGTGCTTTATAACTTGTTCCTTTGCGAAACCAATTTGACAGGATGTTTGGTTGTTCATTTTAAGCAGTATATTAAAAACAATTTTCTACCCAGAGAATAAATATATTAACTAGGGATAACAACCTTAGTTGTTGAAACAGCTGACTAATTTAACTTAGTGCACCTGTGAAAGGGAAGACATTAGACTTGCGATCAGTTATGAATGAAAATATGAGAAACTGATTAAATGAAAATATAATAGTGAGTATTTTTATTATACTCACTTAAGTTATTAACTCTGTTTATCTTTACTCTCTCATGAAAAGCCCAGCACTATGTGCGTGGCCACTTTTGTGTGGGAAGAGAAGATCGCAAGAGCGGCAAATCAGGAGAGTGACTCAATAACCGCTCTTTGAGCGCCATTTCAAGCTTAAGCCGCCGCATGAATGACCAAAATTGTCGCTCTGAAGGGAATGAGTAAGTGCACTGTTAAAAATGTTTACACATGCAAACTCAATATACTTTTATAACTCGACATCTTCAGCTAACACTTTATTATTGATTATATGACACTGGATTTCTAGTTAAATTTAATGCTTTGTGAAACGTAGTTTATCGAAAAGAAAAGAATTTTATTTAAACTAAATGTTTTACTTTCAGTGTACGCGAAATGAAAAGAAATTCCTCATATTTGGTCAGAGCGTTGGCTATTTTTCTGCGGGCCAGAGGAAGCCGCTTAAGCATGTGGGCTCCCCGAGCAGCGAGAACAAAAAGTATAAAAAGAAAATAAAATAAACCGCTAATGGTCATGGCCGTTAATAAACAGAAAGCCCTAATTTGGCTCTCGTCTTTTTTGTGGTTTATTAACCAAGCCGCAAAGAAATAGTCATGGAAATACGTAGAGGGAGACCGCAGATCGACACGCACTTGTAAACAAATTTGGGAACTGCAGTTGAAAGAACTCTTCAGCTGGCCATAAACACAAACAACCAGCGGCCAAAAAAAAGATATAGTGTGTAAAAATAGTAGAAGAATCCATAAAAATGTAAGATGCAACAGATTAGAGAGCAGAGAGTCGAGTGTTTTTCCGATTTTCCGCTCAAGAGCGAAGACTAAGAGAGACTTTTCCGATCAGCTGAGATGCATTAGCTTTTGGGGTGACATTAGCTTTTCGAAAAAAAAAAAACGCGTTATGAAAATGGAAAGTGGAATTGCATACGGCCACGAAAAGTAAAATCGTAAGCCGATCTGAAAAAGCAGCTAACGAAAACAGCTGTTTCGCTTTCCAGCGGAAATGCTATGCAGACGAATTTCAAGCTTAAACGAGTGTGAGTGAGTGGTAATCACTTGTATTCGATCATCACCGTGAGTCAGGTCGAAAATGTGACTAAGCCTCTGTCCATAAATGAGTATCGGATTTTTGGCGTAGGCTTAATGCGACCAAGTTGGCCTTTTTTCGGTTCTTTGGCCAAAATAACATAAATATAGCAATGGAGAAACACACTGAAAAGAAATCGCAAATTATGGAAACAAAATGTACTTTAATTTACATTTTACTTTGAATACTTTTTAAGGAAAAGTATTTGTCTTCTATTCTTTATTTAGAAAACAAGAAGCCTTCACATAATTTTTATAAGTTCTATATTTTTAGCTCACACTTTTAAGTTCTGTGGGTTGAGTACTAAGTACTATGTAATTTATCATAGTTTTCATAGTAATTAATCATATTCTTTATGGTATACACTTAGGCAAATGTTTTGAAATGAAATAAATAAGAGTTTTTAAGCCCTTCTATATAAATATTTAAGTTTTAAATTATACCTCTTTACCTAAGGATTTTTATGAAGTTAATTAAATAATGAAAGCATTTAGATTTGAAGACAATTTAGTAGTTTAATATTTTTTTTTTTTTTTTTTTAAATGTAAGCTCCCGTTTTCTTCTTTCAGTGTAGGCATTGTCTTTGGAAACGCCTTCGTTAATTTGCATGTCGCTCGGTTGGAGTCGCAGTCTCGATCTCCGTCTGGGTCTCAGTCTCAGTCGAGTGATTCCCGCAGATCTAGATAATCCAATCCATCCACTCCAACACTTGGCAGCCATCTAGTTTCCCTCTTGGCCAACCAGCCCACTTCCTCAAGTGGACACCCCCAGACAATCGATACATTTATGGTGCACATATGATACTACATACATACATACATATGTATATACCGTATTACCGTATTAAAGGCAACTGTTGTTTTTTTATGCACTTGCCGTTCGTTGTGTTGTTTTAATTAGTAATTGGCAATCGCACATCGTTGAGCAGATTTTGAATTACCAGGGCCATCGGCATTTTGGGGGGTAGAAATGGGTGGGGGTTTTTTTCGAGAGGGGCGCCCTCCGTTTAATTGCCAACTGATTGTTATGGCATTTTGAATTGCCTTCTGGCACGCCATCGAGTTTGGAACATTAAAGTGGGGATGTGCTGGTAATTTGCATGCCAATCAAGCGAGGATTTTTTATAGCTAAGGACAACACATGGACTTTGCTTTAACACGGCCATGGGTATTAATCACTTATTTGATTTATTTATTAATCATTTTTATCGAGATTGAGCGGACTCACCCACTTAGTCAGAGAGTTGTTGGCCAGCTTTGCCGCCCATAACTATTGCTTTTACTAAAACTCTGCCCACGCTTACGCCCAAAGTCATCGGAATTCCGCCTGTCACAACCAACATCCGTCTCAAGGCAACCTTCTCAGCACAACCCCAACAGCATTGCCAAGTAAAAAAAAAAAAGACTCAATTTAAAAAAGGAAAACTCAGACTCAGACTCAGACGCCGCTGCAGACAATTTCCCGTTTGGCCGCTGGAATGCCGGCAATTGAAATTGCAACTGCAATCGAAGAGAAACGACAATTTATTCGCACAACGTCATGTGCTTAACAATTTTAACACACTTTGTCGCATGAATTGAGATTAATGGAAATACATTTCTGATTTACTGGATATACGCAGGCAAATTGCACAATTTTTAATAATTTAGCTTCATCATGCAACTGCCTAAATGTATTTTCAATAATACTGAATTTTATGCAAATTAAATAGCATTACGTCAGAAGAAAACAATTTTTGGTGACCTAATTTTGATAAACCTTGATAAAAAAATTTACTTTAATGCAAAGTGAATATTACAGGTAAAAAAAATAAATTTAATAATCTCACATTTTATCTTATGTGTTATCAATTTGTTATTGTGACTAATTTTAGATTTTAAAAGCTTTTTTAGATGGATTTTAAATAAAATTATACGCTATACCTGAAATCTTTTAATTCATTTCCAATGCAAAATCTGAAACCGTTTTTTTAAGCTGCTTACAAATGCAAACTTAAGCTTAGAATAAATGAATAAATTGTTAACTTTTATCACTTGATAGGTATGAAATTTCAGTTCCATCAACATTTCAGAATAGAGCAATAAATTGACCGTAACATTTTTTGCATACTCTTTTTCAGAACACGTTCTATTTATTTTAATAATATCATGACAATTTAGTTTTGATTTAGTATGAGTATGACTAGTCATTATTAAAACTTTTATAAATCATTTCTAATTTTTAAATATTATTGTCACAT